AGGTCTATAGATGCCATTTTTCCAACAGTCTGTGTCACATTTTGGTAATTCTCACAATATTTCAAATTTTTTCATAATGCTATTGCCTACTTAATAGACTATTATATGGTGGTGGTGGTGGTTATGTGCCTTGGAGTCGGTTCTGACTCATAGTGACCCTGTACAGGGTTTCCGAGGCTGTGAATCTTTATGGGAGCAGAAAGCCTCATCTTTCTCACACGGAGTGGCTGGTAGCTTTGAACTGCTGACTGTGAGATAAGTAGCCCAACTCATAACCTCTACGCTACCAGAGCTCCTTTAATAGACTATTACATAGTGTAGAGATAACTGTTAACATTCATGTGACTCGTTTTATTGCAATATTCACTTTACTGTGGTGGTTTGGAACCAAACCCATAATATGTCCAAGGTACTAGGAGCTGCCAGACTGTTACAGCCTAAAGTAGGAAACTTCTCAGTTTCTCCTACCTTTTTATCTCCAGGAAATATACATCTTGTAGATTCATAGCCCTAGCAGTGCAGAACACAGCATAGAATGGTGGGTGTGGCACTGAGAGATCAGAATACTGAAATACACTAATGTGTAAGAATCTGATGACACTTAGGAACATCCAAAAAGCTGAGAACAAGGAGGAAGCAGATTTAGAAAAAAAAAAAAAAGAGGTATTCTATGAAGAAGGGCAAGGTCAACATTATCAAAATCAAATGCTACTGAGAAGTCAAGGAAAGATTGGAAAGTGTCCTTGGATCAGGCAATTATGAGATAGTTGATAAATTTATTGAGAACAGTTTTCAATGTTGTAGTGGGAGTCAACTCCAGATTGTGGTGGGCAGAGAAGTGGGAGGTGAGGAAGAAACTGTCAGTATATATGCTTCAAATTTGATCAAGAAGAGAAAGAGCAAGACAGAAGGGGTGGGGGAAGAGGCAGTGAGAAAGCTCTAATATGGCAATTAAATAATCTGAGAAATTAATCTGTGTGGCTATGGTCCATCAGTGTTTCTCTGAGACTTCCAAAATGTAGGACTCCATTTTATAAAGAAATAAGAGCACCCAAACCAACCAGCCAAAAAAAGAAAAGCAAAAAGCTTATGACCTGGATAGTCTAAAACAATAATGCATATATGTATTGGAGTCCTGGTGTGATACTG